ATTTTTTACAAATATAATGAACAATACAGTATACATAGTTACAAACACAAATAAGAAACAGCAGTTTTCACATATTCGTACATATATAGGAGTATATATAAAAACCTTCGTCTCAGGCACACCTGAAACAAAAAAAAAAGAATTCTGTGAGTAGGCTAAATATATCTAGCTTAACTGCAGGAGGCACCAAGGGACGGTGCTATATGGCATGGTGGGTGCATATTAAAATGTGTATCGGGACATTAACATGATTAATGATATGGTAAGATATTGTAAGAAGTTGCACATAACTGGTATGTCATCCTCGTGCCTGATGCAGAGGAGTCAGTACTATTTAAAGTGACACAACTGCAAGAGGCACCAAGGGACGATGCTAATTGACATGCCAAAGTGCACATATTACGAAAAGATAAAATATTACCAGTTTAATCAAGAAATATCACAAACAGAAAGGTAATAGAGCTTATACGATGTGTCCTGTACCCCATCATGCCAACCTCGTGCCTAGTGCAGAAAGCCTGATTTAAATATTTATCTTTCAAGTTATAGTTTGTCTTCATCAACTAACTCACAGACAGATATCAAGATATCCAGATTCTCTACATTAAGAAGCCATATCAGTTTTTGGCTAGGAGTCAAATGCGTAAAGTTTGGGCATAGTGAGTTAATAGTGGAATTTAAACAATTTCTCTTATCTTGAGATGATGTACACGAAAATAAAAAATGTTTTTCATCATCAACTTCGTTTGGGGTGCACCTGAGACATATTCTGTCTTGTCGGAGAGTACCCTGATAGCGACCTTGTTCAATTCTTAGTCTGTGAGAAGAAATACGCAATCGAGTGAAATTTCTTCTCTGCTCAGGTGATTGTAATATAGTAAGATATCTTTCAAGACCAAAATGAGTCTTAAAAGTGCTATAGCTACAAAGCTTCCCATCAGCACAATTGTGCATTTGTTTTCTCCACTGTATTTCATAGTGCTGATAAAAAAACTTTTTAAATAAAATTTTGAATCTAAAGTTGCTTGCAAAGGCTAGACTGTCAACCCCATTAATTTTTTTTTGCAAATAGTTTAAAGATCCATACCAAGAGGGAATTTTTGATTCAAATAATAGCTTTGACTCTAAATATGCATCTTTTAGTAATGGAAAGGATGAACCCAAATTTTCAAGCCGGTGCCAGTATCTGTTCATAGATTTGGTGATATCAAAATGTAAAGGAAATCTCCCAAGTTCTGAAAGAGTGGCAAAGTTTGTTGCCCTTTTCCCCACACCTAGTAATAGTTTACAAAATTTCATATGTAATCTTTCAGAAAGAAGTTTAGGATAGGCTTGATCAACTGTAGAAGTCTGAGAATTTAATTTTTTTTTGAAGGGATTAAAAAAGCTCCAAATTTCCGAACTATACAAAAGAATGGGTTTTGGACGATTTTTCATTCCCTATTGTTAATTTTCCTTTTTTAGACGGCGATGTTCCTTTGGCTCCATCATACGGTGTATATATATCCCAGCTCGTTCGTTATGCCCGTGTGTGTAGTGATGTCATAGATTTTAACGAACGTAATCAATGCATCACTGGTAAATTATTAAATCAAGGATTTCGTTACCATAAATTACGTAAAACTTTTGCTAAGTTCTTTCATAGATACATAGATTTGATTAGTAAATTTGGCTGTACTTGTAGAAAACTGATTAAAAACGGTATTTCACATCCTAAATTTTACGGTAATATTGTACTTAAAGCGCGGAAATCACTATGTGATCCGTGTAAACTCATCGAACCTTTAAACAAACTTATAAGTAAAGGTTATCTTACCAATGTTGTAATTAGATCTTTGAATATAGTTTACATTGGCACTAATATCGATTTTGACATCAGCAAATTAAAACATAACTAAATTTGTATTTTTTTCAAGTGGGATGTATAAAGACACACCCACGTTCCGGTTTAGATCTATAAAGAGGTTAAACTCCTAACTATCCTACTGTCTGTCGATACATTTATTTTTGGCATAGCACTAGTCATGTCTTCTTTGACTGTCCATGACGTTAAAATACTAAATCCTTGGGATGTGTTTTAGTTGATTTTAGTCTCTGATGCATGATTTTTTATTATTAATTGTTTTGGCTTTTAACTAGCTGTCAGTAACTGCGAGTACTCTCAAATCGTAATTTCTTGTTTATTTGACCTGTTGATACTTATTGTATTGCTTTTTTGTTATTTAATGTTATTCAGGGTTATATCTGGTCTATATACCAGCTTTGATAAGTGTTTGATATAACTATAAATTTTCACTTCGTACTATGAACATCAAAATTATTTATTTTGTAAAAATATTTCCTTTCTCTATTGGTACTGTACACGTATACCTAACAACAAAATTATTTTCATTTACCTGTGTTTAAAGTCATTGCAAATGTCTGATATTTTTGTTCGAGCATATTGTTTTTCTTTAATTGTTTAACATTTCTTACCGATATAACATGTTACTTTTATTATTCTTCCCTTAGTTTATTTATTTTGTATTTACATTGTGTCATAGGTCAAATTTATTTGTTCAGTGTATGTCAGTCAATGGTGTTAATATGTCCTTTGATTGAGTTAAGCTATTTCAGTTGATATTTTATAGTGTGTCTTTCTATGTTGTGATGTTACACTATTGTTTCAGGAAAAAGGGTGAAGGTTTGGTACCATTAAAACGTTTAAACCCGCTGCATTTGTTTGCACCTGTCCTAAGTCAGGAATCTGATGTTCAGTAGTTGTCGTTTGTTGATGTGGTTCATAAGTGTTTCTCGTTTCTCGTTTTTTATATAGATTAGACCGTTGGTTTTCCCGTTTGAATGGTTTTACACTAGTAATTTTTTGGGGCCCTTTATAGCTTACTGTTCGGTGTGAGCCAAGGCTCCGTGTTGAAGACCGTACTGTGACCTATAATGGTTTACTTTTATAAATTTTGACTTGGATGGAGAGTTGTCTCATTGGCACTCATACCACATCTTCTTATATCTATTAATTGTATGATCAAATACGTAGAGGCTGTTTGTAATATTTGGATACAGTGACAAGAAGTCCTTTCGTAGCTTGTAGTATGCTTTCAGTGCCTTATTGTACAATTCCTTCTGAGCAAAGGAAAAAGATCCTGATGCACCGTAAATGTTATACCTAAATATTTACAATGTTGAACACAATCTATCAACATGTCATTAAAATAAAAATTATGTTTTATATGCCTGCCTGCCTGGTTAAATACCATCACCTTAGTTTTTTTTAGATTAATTTTCATACACCAATCTTTACAATAATTATTTAATTGATCAAGTTTACACTGAAGCCCCTTTTCCGAGGAAGAATATGTAAGAAAAACGTATGCGGGAATATTTCAAGACAGTATAAGGCATCCCGATGCTACACACAGAAAAGACATAATTTGTAAATGTGAAATTTTGCGGGTAACTATGAAAAATTAAATATGATATCGGGTTCCTGTCCGGAGACATATTTCGGAAATTAGTCTCGAAAGTAACAATAATTATTTCTTATTGTTTCTTTTTGCGGGTAATCGTAGCCAGTGCCTTAAAAAAAATTGAAAGCTCATCAAAGATGAACGAACAATTTAAGAAAGGTAAATAATAAATTATGTCAGGGTCGACTACTGAACAGATGATACCCTCAACATACAAATAGTACATCGTCCATGTGGAAAACATCACAATGCCGATGCACTGTGAAATACGACATACTTATCATTGGTCAGGGTTGCAACAGTTGTTATAATAGATTTCCAACAAAAAAAGTGCACAGAGGATAGCGACAGACATAATTGGAGAATTACTGCAAACTAGAATTGGAAATAAATATATTTGTGTTGTGTTGGATTATTTCTCAAAATGTACATCGAGTTTTTTCTTTGCCGAACATTGAGACCGAATATGTAGTAAAATTGTTAATTATGAATGAGTGAGATTTGTAATACCAAGAACGGCAGTACGAAAACAACTAGTTAACTTGTTTTATGGAATTCAGTGAACAGTTTTCAACACAGAGGATACAAGAACATAACTTTATCACCCCAATCCGATGGGATGGTGGGAAAATTCAATGGGACTATCGCAAAAACGGCAAGCGCCTATGTAAATATCTACTTGTATCATAATAATTGGCACTAGTATCTTCCGTATGTATAATGGTGTATCGCAGTGCCTGAAAAGGATCAACAGGTTATACGCCAACATATTTCATGTTCTGCGAAGAAGTATATCCTACCTCCAAGTTGTCATGTACGGCGATGCCGCAGACACTGATAGTAAAATCAACAAATAAGTGGACTTTAAAAATGAAAGAAGAGATCGAATAGTGAGAAAGAACTTACCGGGTGAACAATGCTGCATGTGTTTTTATATGTAAAAAAAACCAATATTTTTTATGCTTGCATTCACTTGTTGAAAGTGCTACTTTGAAAATAAGCAGTTATGTTTTAATTTCAATGCACTTTCCAAAAAAATGCACAATATTGTGACCAAGCTTACGTTTACAGTTTGGATCAGTTTGATTTATGGCTGTCTATGGTTTAGCGTCTATAGAGTCATATCTACAAGACTACACGACTGAACTTTCAGAGGCGGATCCAAGACTTTAAAAGGGGGCATATAGAAGAGGCTTACTTATAAATAAGAGGAGCCCGGTGGTCAAAAAAGCAGAAAAATATGCACTAAAAACAAATTGAATACCTTGGGTCCATCTACGACCATATATATATATATATACATAACACTGTTACAAATAATTTATAATGAAATTATGAGATATTTTAGAGACTTTCAACCTGGTATTAGAGAGAGACAGGGAGAGAAAATATGAAAAGAATGTAACCCAACCTAATCCCTTTAGTAAAGGTTTAAACTCCATGTGGATGTGCTTCTATTCATTGGAGACTTATACACAGAAGAAAAAAGATCAACAGAAAATTATTCTTGAAAAGCGCGTTTCATTCCCTAGCATTTATAGGATCCACCTCGAAATTTTGCCTAACTTCTTTTTTATTTTTTTGTAATCTTACATGTTTTTGTTTCAACCTGGTATGTTTTTTAATGTAATTAGTCAACCTAAAACGTAAGGCATATAAAAAAGTATGGAAAGCAGTTCTACTTTTTAGATGTTTAAACTTAAAGAGTATCAAGATTGATTGTCTGATTTCTATAGATTTGATTAGGAGTGAATAAGCACACTCAAAAATTTGCCACATTTGGTTAATTAGGTCCCTATCCTCGGGTCTCTGACTCTCACTAATAAGCGACAAGATGTGATAAGAAGAAAAAAATTAGCGACAAGAATAATTATTTAGGGACAAGAAGTATAATTTAGTGACAAGTAAAAAAATCTAAATATTAATTATTTCAAAACAGATATACTGTTCCCAGTTTCAAATAAATAAATATTGAAACATACATTAAATTGTCTTTTTTAATATAGGAGAAACAAGAGATTATAAACTTTGTTAAGAAAAGAGTATTTTTTTCATTATCAAGGATATATTTTTAAGATAATATATTTACAGTTTACAGCATAGTGTATAGATGAATGAATCAATATTTATGTAGAGTCGGCATGGTTGATATATATAGTGTCAATAATTTTTACAAATATATATACATGACACAATTTTTTCTGTCTTGACAGGATAAAAGTTTCAAATATTTACATAATTAATCATAGTTAATTAAATATCAAAAGGACATGCATGAGTGTTTGGATAATAAAAAATGGGGGGTAATTTCTTTACTTTTAAAAATAAATTTATTGGCATTTCTGTCTATTTTTTATGGACCCTTAGTATAATCAGATGATTTATTTTCTATAAATCTATTGTTTTAATAGTAAATAAACTTTCTTGTTGCTAATTTTTTCTCTTTGTCGCTAATATTTTTCTTCTTGTCGCTTCTTGTCACTAATTAGTGAGACCATTAACCATGTTAACCTCTATGTTTGATATTTTTAAAAAACATGATCAAATATTTGAAAGGCACTGGCTACGGTTACCCGCAAAAAGTAACAATAAAAAATAATTATTGTTACTTCCGAGACTAATTGCTGAGATGTATTTCCAGAGGGGGACCTGATTTCATTCAGAAATTACATGTACATGTAACAATAACTTAATTTTTTATTGTTACCTGCAGTTGTTGCTACCTGCAAAATATATAAAAAAGAAGGCAGTGTCTGATCAACCCCACATGCGGGGACGAGTACCCAAATTCCATTTGTAGGCTACGCTTACCCACGTCTGGTTTTATAATAAAATGGAAGAGTTTGATATATAACTACATACAATTGTATAAAAGAAACTCTGCATCAATTGCGATGCCAATCATCTTCTTGATGTTTTGTCAATAAGCAATAAAATATTTGACGAAAAAATCGGCAAATTACTGATAATTTCCGTATATATTTCACGTTTCATTCCCCATCCAATGACATTTTATTATAAAACCGGATGCAGATACGACATCCAGAAATATTGACCAAAAGGATGTTCATTTTTGCCTTTTTAAGGGGGTTGATTAAAACAACTCGCTATTCTTAAGTATGGATTAAAATGAGCAAGATGTCCAATTTGTGGTCGATGAAAAGTTTATATCTTTTCCAAACTTTAATGATAAACTTCAACGATTAAATGCAAATTTTGTTCATTTATATAAAAGAAGTTCTTGTAAAATAGGCAAAAAAAAGATCAGAAATAAAGATTTCATTTATTCCGAATTGAAATATTCATGCATTCATGGTGGCAGAATTGTTTCCTCCAAACCGGAAGGATCCCGTCCAAATCAGAGCTATGTAAACATTTGTTGCATTTGTACATCTACTGAACATCCGTGCATTCAATCACATCGTGTTATGGAATAGCAATTTCATTAGGAGTAACGGATCAACCATTCATTTTCATGGAAAATGCTAAAAAAAAAAACAGATATCATAGAAGAAGGATATAGCAGAGTGGAACTGCTTAGTGTGTGGTATTGACATCCATATATATGAATCTATAGTTTGTGACGGATGTCTGGAGTGTACCACCTAAAAGTGTTGGCCTCAAAATGTCACATAAGGCTGCTACATACTGGATGCACAGGAAGTGCCACCAAAATAAATAGCTGTACTATAAAAATAAGGAGATGAGATATGATATTGCCAATGAGACAACTATCCACCAAAGTTCAAATAAAGTGGATGTAAGCAATTATAGGCAACCATACAGCCTTCATCAATGAGAAAAACCCATACAGTATAGTCAGCTATAAAAGGCCCTGACATGAAAAATATGAAACAATTCAATTGAGAAAACTAACGGCCTAATTTATAACAAAACAATTTACGAAAAACAAATATGACAGATATCAACCAACGACAACCACTGAACTACAGGCTCCTGACTTGGGACAGGCACTTAAAGAATGTGGCAGGGTTAAACATGTTTGTGAGTGCTCAATCCTCCCCTTAACCTAAAAATCAGTTGAAAAAGGCTTAACTCATCAGATAGACACAAAGCAGAAATACAAACAAAAACACAGACCGGACGTGGCAGGGTATTTATCCGTTGTTTTAAAATATTTCTTTTTCCAAAAGCAATGAAAAGCCAAGACATATCTAAAATTTGCATATTTATGATTAAAAGTTTTTGTGAATCTGCCTTTTCTTGTCACTTTCATAATTTATTAAATCTCAATAACCAAAGATGATCCCTACCCATGAAATACATATCCACAATTTGTTATTCCTCATGAGCTTGCAATCCTTTGCACACTAGCTTAATTCACCAGCTCACTTGTATTACAATATCCTATCTTTTTTCAAATTGCTTCTCCTCTGAAACTTAAAGGTCCTCTGGATCTTATGAAACTACCAGTATATAGTTGTGATGATTGGGAATACAGCAAATCATTTTTTTATTTTAGATAATGAAGGCAGAGGTACTAATTATTGAACCATTTTATGGTGGATCACACAAACAGATGGTAGATTTACTGCAATCTAAGATCAGTGACTGTGAGGTGATGACAATGAAAGCCAAGAAATGGCACTGGAGAGCAAGAACTGGTGCTTTATACTTGAGTCAACAAATTCCTTATTCTCATAATTACAGGTTTGAACAAAGCTTTGAATTTCAGAGAATATAAGACCTGGATGCTTCACACTTTGTATACAGATGCCTTATGTTAAGAAATTTCCGTCAGTAATATATCCATTGTCCCTTACCTATTTTTATGGTTCAGTGACTGCTTAAAAAAATATATATTTTTTTTTGTCATGTAAATTTCTCATTTATTAAGAGCAATAGGAAAAATATGTTTGGTATAAATGGTATATGGGTTCCTTGAAACGTCAACATGTCAGTCAGACAGGGTTCACCTGACCTAGACCACATTTCATGGATCAGTGATCAAGGTGAAAGTTACATGATTAGGTCTTTTTCTCAGATACTATAATCAATAGGTCAACAATATGTGGTGTATGGAATAATTGTAAGCAGTACATGTCAGTTCCGTATGAAATTTATGTTTGATAAATGGAATGATTGCAAGGTGTACATGATAGTCTGGCAGGGTTCTTCTGACCTTGACCTCATTTTCATGGTTCATTGGTCCATGTTTAGTTTTATATAGTTTGGTCTGTTTCTTTGATACTATAAGCAAAAGGTCAATTATGTTTGGTATATAGATTGATTGTAGAGTGTACATGTCTGTCTAGCAGGGTTTATCTGACCTTGACATTATTGTCATGGATCATCAATAATGTTAAGGTTATGTGATACTTGAAGTAAAACCTTTATCTTTAAGACTTCCAACAGCAAATCAATCATGGTTAGTAAAGCAGACAAGACATTTCAGCATGTTTTCAATTTTACTCACTTATTATTTTGCAGGACTCTGTTTGCCAGTTCCGTATTAAATCTAGCAGAACTTATTGCCTTACGACCAGATTTGCAGGGTCTTACAAAGATACTGTATTTCCATGAAAATCAGTTGGTTTATCCAATTAAAAAGCAGCAAGACAGAGACTTCCAGTATGGTTATAATCAGATAATATCATGGTAAGTTGTTATCAAATGAAAAAGATGCAAGACCAAGACTATCAGTATGGTTATAATCAGATAATATCATGGTAAGTTGTTATCCAATGAAAAAGAAGCAAGATTGAGACTTCCAGTATGGTTATAATGTTATAATTAGATTTATCATGGTAAGTTCATGAATACGGTAGTCTTTTCTTCTTTCCTAGGAAGTTCTGAACTACTTACCATTGACAAGTTTATGCATGTATTGTATATATAAAAAGGCTTATATAGCAATGAATAGCAAACCAACAGGACAAAATTTTAAACATTTTGATATACTGTAAATTCAGAAATTATTGCGATGTTTTTATTATTGCGAAAAATGCGACAGGGTTATAATCGCAATAATTTAAACTCACATTTTGAAATTTTTTATATGAATTAAACAGGATTTTCTCAATATCGCAAAAATTAAAATTGCATTTTAGTCTAAAATGACAAAGTCGCAATAATAAATGCACGCAATAATTTCTGAATTTACAGTATCTTATAACACAGCCACTTTATTACTCTTTCAATGATATAAATGGGTATGTCATGTAACTAACTATACTGTTGGGTCAATCAAGTCAATACTGAAACATCTTTTTTTACATAGTTAGTGGCAAACAAGAAAATGCAATAAATTACAATGTAAAAAATTGACATTTAAAATGCGCTCAGGAAATTTAATTGTATGTTCTTTAACATGTTTAATAGCTTCTCTTTCTACAAATCTTTTGTCTTAACACCAAACTTTAGAACAGGAAAATTTTACCTTATTTGTTCAGAACAAATAAAATTTTATATGTATAACATGATAATTAACAAATCATAGAGTATTTTTATGCGTCCCTCCCTCCGTCCGTCGTGTACGTCCCCAAAATTGGTTTCCGTTCTCTAACTTTAGTTTACCTCAACCAAATGTTATAAAACTTATAAACTATGCTTATTACCACAAAACACAGATCAAGGTCGAAATTGGGTGGCGTCACTTTTACCTTCATGAGTTATGCCCCTTTATAAACATAAAAATTGCTGAATTTTTCGTTTCCCTTCTCTAACTTTAGTTTGCCTCTACCAAATGTTATAAAACTTATATACAATGCTTATTATCACAAAACACAGATCAAGTTAGAAATTGGGTGGCGTCACTTTTACCGTTCATGAGTTATGCCCCTTTTTAAACATAAAAAATTGCTGAATTTTTTATTCAGCCATGCTGGATCTATGGGATCACTCTGTTTTTGGAGATGGTGCAGAATACTAAGTTGAAGACATATCATGAAACTAATTATGTGTTTTTTTGACTTGCAGAAACTTTCTACACCATTTTAATCATCAACTGCCAACTTTTGACATGTTATTTGCCCTTAAATTAAGAAAAGATTGGTCAAACAACCCTTTTATTTTAGATATACACTTGCATATAGTTCCTCTGTAAATCAAAATTAATAATGATTTACTATTTATGTATTAATTTCAAAAAGTATTTGTACATCAATTAAATCAGTTGATAAGAATTTTGAAAGTATAATATTAGTATCTTATGCTTGTGTAAATTATTGTTCAATAAAATGTAGGTCAACATGTGTATTGATATATCTAAGTTGATTCCCACACTTTTTTGAAATGGTATTACTCCAATTCTTTTCATTGACAAGTAAGAGTCAGTATGATCATCAACTGTCATGATTATCAAATAATTACACTCAAAGGTGTAAGTATTAATTGGAAACACCCCTAGTCTTAATTCACCACAGTTAATATCTCATGACCTGTTACATAATTAAATAAGCACAATTCATTACACACCTAACTGAATACACACATACTTGACCTCAATGGTAAACCTACAAATGTATTATTTATTTTGAATTACACTACATTAAAATATTCTGTTAGTTATGCTAGCTAGCTGAAATTAATCAGATGTGGTTTTTTTTCCAAAGAAAAGACAAAAATGAAAAAATACATATTAAAATGTAAACAAATTTTATTTCACTTGTAAAATTAGTGTCATTATCATCTGACATAAGTAAATAATCAAGATCTAATGAATTAGTTACAATTATCAGAAATTTGGTTGAAACAATAAATAAAACTGCATAACTCTTACCTGAGCATTTTCTGCAATAAAATTTATTTGTTTGTTCTACATTTATATCCCATTATATTGCTATATAACAGTAATTGGAAATATCTCAGCATTAAGTATTTGTAAATTTAAATTTGAATACAGGAAATGTATTTTTTCTTAATGAAGAATGAACACCAATTTAGATAGAAAATAGTTATTATTTTTAAAATTTTTGTTGTTGAGAAAGTGCGTTTCTAAGGTCTCTTTCTGGAAATTATTAAGCCAGTTATTATTAATGGCATATACAAAAATATATTACTATGACAATTTCCCTTTCCATTCTTGTAAAAAAAAAATCTGACAGAGTCTAAATTAAAATATCAATGTATATATTGGTCCGAGTACACAGTTATCGTCCTTTGATTTTCCTTGTCCACGAATATAGTCCCTAGTGTGGACAGTGTGTTGCTTGCCAATTTTTTTAATACCCCTTCCAAATGTATTTCTTCATGTTTTATGCCTCAAATAGCAAGTAGGGGGATGAAATAACACTGTAAAAAAATTTGGGTCATGAATTTTAAAGTAAAGTAGTGATTTGGTCCAGCTGAAAAAGGTTAAAAATTAGCACTTCGGAAGCTGTCAAAAGATTTCAAGACCCCCTTAACATAGAATTGTCCATATTTTGAGTTAGAGCCGATGAAGTTTTCTATAATTTTGATATAATTTGTCCAAAAAGTAGTACAACACACTGTAAAAATATTATTGAGAAAGCGCAGGTGGGATTTTTTTTATTTTCATTTATTGTCTAAAAGAAATGCACTACGAAATAACTGTGTACTCGGACCTAAGAGGCGAAATCAGTAAATATAGAATCTGTACTTTGGCAACTTCCTTGAATGATTTAATGATGTCAATTTGTCAAATAGCATGAAACTAAAGGATTTAAACTTTTATTTGATAGAAATTCTGCAAAAATGACCCATTTTGGCATTATATGGTCAAAATAAGCATTTCAAAGCTTTTTCAATTTTGATGCATAAGTGGCATTCTGACTTTCTATGTGACAGGTTTTCATGTGTCAATATTTGTGTTTCTATGCTTTAATCCAGTTGTATTACTCATTTGTGAACTCTGAATCTACAGAAAAGAAGATTATCTCAGACAATATGTGCAAAATGTGTTGTATAAATGACCCTCGTCTAACGGCTTGTTTGGATGAAGTTAAATGTGAGGACATTGGTACATAAAAGTTGAAGTCCATAATAAAGATTTCACTAAATTTGTATAAAAAGCACTTTACAATGTCTTTTGTACCTGTTTCATTTCACATAATATCTTTCTTTTCTTCTGTTAAATAGGAAGTGGTTCAAATATAAGCCTGTTGAGGATAAAATTGCATGCAAGTTTTTCACTAAAAAGTGACAAATCTTTGTATCAGACCATACTGTCTGCAAAAAAAGTTGAAAGCAAGAGTCCTTTTGTGCTCAGATTTATTGTATCATGTAACCTGAGTAAAGAAATTATAAAAAAAGACACATTTTTTTATTTCCTATAGCTTCAGTATGCATTTTTAAATGTAAATATGTGCTACGGCCTAAATTGACACTAAATAATTTTCAGTCTTACTTGGCTTAAGACCCTTTTTTAAAGGCAGTGCTTTAATGCCTTTCTAGTTGCCAGGTTAATCCTTCCTTCCGCGATATCCAACTTATCTACGTGGGGGGTCGTTAGGCTCCAAGTAGATCCGGAAATGTTGAATTCTCTCCTCTTCTTATTGTGATATAAAATGTTTTTTGTTTCATTTCATTTACATTGGGAAATAGAGAAACGATCATTGTGTTTTGTTAGTTTTAAAAACTTTTGATATATTTGTATTTTGCATTATAAGCAGTCAACCGATTGACAAACTAGAATTATTTGAATTCCGTGTGGAAAGAGCTCGGGTTAATTTCGAGTGTTATCTGCAATCTATATGTTTATAAATCATTTCAGTCGTTGATATAATAATTAAAGGTCGACTGAACATGAATTATATTGTACAATTTAAAGCGCATTTCTGTTTATGCACGTGAAACCCGTCTAACGTTATTGTTATTTCGCAGTTATATAAAGTAGCAAATTATCGTTCCTGAATAGGTGGCGCCGTGGTAGCCGATCCTGTTCCTCAACTTCCGGTTTCTGCACTGTGCAACTATTTCAGTTACATTTTTTAATTAACGATGCCAAGTACTTGTTGTTGTGTACCTGGATGTCATTTAAGAGGAGGACATGCATTTCCAAATGACTTAAAAAGAAGGAAAAGTTGGATCAACGCCATGGCCCATACGCAGATTGGACGAGAACACGATGAAATCGTGGAGTCCATCTCAATCAGCTGTTGTTTGCAAGGCACATTTTACTGAAAAAGACTACGTGCAGGAAACTATTCATGGTAAAACTCTATTTTCTTTTTGAAATATATAGTTATATATGTAATCGCCATGCGAATAAACCAAAGTCTGTTTACAACCGCAATTATCGTTTTAGAATAAAAGGGGGTGGTTAATTCAAGACGTCATAATTTTTTGGATTACGATTCAATGTGATCTGTTTGAGATTTTTTGGTGATTGCTACAATTATAATGATTTCTTACAAGAGGTATATCATACTGAGAATTATTTTAGCAGTAATTATGCTAATGTAGTAATGACAGGAATGCATAAGCTATGCCTCATAGACTTTCTTGAATAATATCAATGACAATGTTAACAGGAACAAAACAATGACATGCTCTCATCTATATTATAGTTATTTAGGTACAAACAATGTACGTTTGTTGCATAAGTCTCTCATTGTTTGTCCTTTGGATTTACATAACATACATTGAATCAGGCAAACATAGTTTTATCCAGATTGTAATGAATAAATCTAGTTAAT